TTTTTTGTTTGTTTGTTTGTTTGGGGAATTCTAGAGGTAGTTCCATATTTATTGTGATAGCCACAGTGATTGTTCTTTTCTCTAAAACTTTGACTCTGATACCTACATGGGCAGACCTTAGTTGAAATCAGGATATAGAGCTGGTCTGCTTGCCTTCCTGTGTTTAGACACTTGATCTTCCAGGGCATAGTTCCCTAATTTTACCCTGTGACTGCCCGAGGGCCTAATTTTGATAAGATGCTCGGATTTTCCTTGAAGTACACTTATCTTTTGAAAATCTGTCTCTTTTTTTCTCAGCAAAACTTGTTTGTTCTGTGTTATACTCTCTTTTAGACCCTCTCAACAATGTATTCTTGTAAAGGAGACCTATTAACAACCTATAGTGAGTTATTCTTCCAGTGCACACCATGCTCTCAGTTTCATTCTCTCCTGTTTTGTACTCCAGGAACTTGACTTCTGCAGACTGTATCTCTCTAGTTTCCTTGATAGGCAGGAAGTTTTGTGTAGGTTTTGCCAATGGGAGGCACTGGCAGGAAATTGAAAGGCAGGAGAGAGGGGCTTTCATTTTTCTTCCCTGTTCTTTCTTTGCACAGTGTGAGTCTCTGCCAGTAGCTGTGCTGTCAAGATTACAGCTCTCCCTAGGCAGCCTCTCCTCCATAACTGTGGCTCACATTGGGCTCCAGTAAAACCATTTCTTCCTCCTGTTCCTTAGCCCTAGTGTGCCAACAACTTCCTGTTGTTACCAGAGTTAGGGTCCTTGATCAGCCTTTGTTTTCTTAACCTCAATCCAACTGTTCCCAGAAGTTCACCACACATTTTCCTATGCTCCTCTGGACCTTATGAATTCTTTAATAGAATTTCAGTTTGGCTTTTATTGAAATTAGTTGATGGTGAGTCTGTCTGCCCTATTAAATAGTGAGGGTGCAAATATGTCTTATTAATTTCAGAATACCAGTACATAGCAGAATATCTGCATGTAGGTGAAGTTCAGTCCATATTTGTTAAATGTATGAATAGAGTAATATGACTATTTGCTCTCTCATTTTTCTTTTTGAAAAGTCCCACAACCATTCTAATGGTGTTTTCATTATTTCTTGCAGTGTTTTCAGGACTCATTACAGCTTTTCTCATTCTCTTCACATAAAGCCTAGGGAAAACATACCCTACTGTTATTACTGAATATTCCACGTAAACCTTAGTATTACGGAGAATCACAGCAACTGATCAAAAAAATAAATGAGATGAAATGTACTCATTTTGGGTTTACCTAAGCCAGATTCACCATTTATGTACATTGCTTGAAAGGGAAAAAATAATAATAATCTCATTTATTTTTGTGCTTTCTCCCTCTCTGCCAATCTCCATTTGGTGCCCTATTGTCTCACAAGATGCATATTTTGAATTAAGAGTTTAGAACAGAAGATCCATCTGCTTTGAATGAATATTAAATTATCATAGGCTTTGTATAAGGAGAATTTTCCTTGTATTTTGTACTGATTCCCCCCCTTTGAGTAAGAAAGACTTAGAGCAATAATTTTTATCTTCTACATATCCTTGGACTTGAAAGGTTGCAGTTATCAAGTCATTTAATAGGCTTAGAAACCTTTGAGTGGCAGGTGCTGAATAGAAATAAGAAAGGTTTTATTTATTCTCATTATCTTATAAAATGCAGTACTTATTAAGTCTAATTAAACATGGAATGTCAGAACTTGATATTTTGAGTTTACTGGGTTTCATAAGAAAAGAGCATATTCTAAATTACACATTGAAGAGATATACTTTGCAATCAATTGAGTTCATTAAGTAAATGCACATGTTATTTTAATGCATAATATTATAGATAATATGCAACTGACATATCTGTAGTTTTCTTTTGAATATTCATGAGTGAGCAAATTTCAGTCAGCCTTTAAGTAATGTAATTTAGGCAAACAAGTTGTATTCTTTTCCAGCAAGCTCCAAAAAGTTTAAAATCAATTGGCTGGTAGGTATATATTATGTAGTCAAATTTGTTAATAAAATCTGAATAACAAAATCAGTTGAAGGCTGGATCTTTAAAATATATGCATGGTTTCCAATATTTTAATGTGTAGCTTTAAATAATCAGTTATTCTTTCAGTGAAGATGAAAGTTGGGTTCTACTGTAGGTATTAGCATTGTACAATAATATATTGAAAGTAATAAAAATGTGGCTAGTTTCTATGTTGGCAATTATTATTGGTAAGTTGATGCTTTTAAGGAAAATTGGGTAATATAAATTCCAAAGAGTGAAAGAATTACTTCTAATTTATGTAATGGAATTAAATGGAAATGCACATATTCACTTCGTAAAATCTATGACTGAAATAAAAAGTTGCCTTTAGTAAACATGGGGAAGAAAGGGTCAGAATCTGTTTGCATCAGATGATCACTTCCACTGAAGTAATTATCTTGGGCTGATCAGATAATCACTTCCTTGGAGTAATTATCTTAGGGTAGATCTAGATGTTATTGAGGACTGAAACATCTACAATATTGTGCACCCTTCAAAGAAAATAATACAAAATTATAAAAGTGAAAGTCAGTTTTGAATCTTAGAAGGGGCCTAAGGCAGAGAAAGATCCTGAAGATTAGGCTTCATTAACCTCAAGGTAAACCTTTCCTTTGTTTAAGTGAAATGGGTAGTGTGAAATACTCCCTTCAAAATAAGCAAACAATTTTTGTTGGGTAAATAAATGTTTCCATGAATTGTAAATATTTTAAAAGTTTAAGAAAGAAATTATTTGATACTTTATGCACTTTTATTAAAACATGTTTTCCCACTGATGTTGTGTTTTAAATATCTATAACATTGGTTGTAAACAAGGCAGGCCCAGATTAAATCATCTCAGCATCCTCATGTTAACTCATATTTACACATGAATAGTAATAATAAATTGTAAAACATAAAGCTTGCATTTACTAAAATTAAAATAGCTTCTTTCTAATTTTCTGTTTTAAAAGTCTGAAATTATGTATAAAAATGAACCTTCTTCATATTGTGTTGCCAGTGATTTGTTGCCAAACTATGTGCTGCCTAATATGTTGTAAGTAGGGCATCATCTCTCAGGCAAATAATTGTCCGTAAGTCTGACTTTTGACATTTCTTTTTCAGAATCTTATTCTAACTTGCTATCACTTTTTTAAAAAAAATATTTATTTTAAATTTTTTTAGCTTTAAGTGCACACGATATCTTTATATTACATTTATTTATGTGGTGCTGAGGATCAAACTCAGTGCCTCAAGCATGCTAGGCAAGCACTCTACCACTGAGCCACAATCCCAGCCTGCTATTGCTTTTTTTTTGTACCTTATTTTACTCTCTCAAACAGCAAGATGCTAATTTACATTTACATATACCTTATGGTAGGCTGGATTTAGGTTTATAGACATTCAAACATCTAGAAAGGTGTGAGAACACATGAAATACTATTGTGAAATGATTTGAGTACCTTGAAGCTATTTTTCCTAATAAAACATCAATATATGTATTTTTTTTTTATTCCAAAGCAATATGCCAATTTCAAGGAAGAACCTACTTTGAAGGAGAACGAAATACAGTCTATTCCTCTTCTGGGGTGTGTGTTCTCTATGAGTGTAAGGTAAGGAGATCCACTAGTCTTTCAGAATTGTTTCAATTATATAATATAGTGTTTCTTTAAAAGCTCACCCTTGTAATAACATGTGTTAGTCAGCTTCTCATTATTGTGACCAAAATATCTGACAAGAACAGCTTAGATGAGAAAAGTCTTTTTTTGGCTCATGGTTTCAGAGGATTCTAGTTGGTTAACTCCATTTCTTTGGGTCTGAGATGAGGCAGACCATCATGGCAGGATGGTATGGCAAGGGAAATCTGCTCAACTTATGACAGCCAGGAAGCAGAAAGAATGGACTGGTGATAAGACAACCCTTCCAGGGCATGTTCTCAGAGACCTACTTCTTCCACCTAGGTCTCACCTCCCAGTAGTCCACTTAGCTTTCAATGGGTTAATCTACTGATGAAGTTTAGACCCCTTATGATCTAATCATTACCTAAAAGCCCTAACTCTGAACCTTGCTTCATCAGGGATCAGACTTCAACATACGAGCTTTTGGGAGACATTCTACATCCAAACCATAGTATCCTATCTTCAAATTATAGTGTAAAAAGAAAATTCAAAATATCAATTATATTTATTTTTGGTACCAGAGATTGAACCCAGAGTTACTTAAACACTGAGCCACATCCCAAACTATATATATATATATATATATATATATATATATACACACATATATATATATATATATATATTTTGAGACAGAGGCTTGATATTTTTGAGGCTGGCTTTGAACTTGTGATCCTCCTGCCTCAGCCTCCTGAGCCACTGGGATTATTGATTTTTTCAAATAAAGTCATTCCCATTGTCTTTTTAAAATATATATTAATAGTTATAATATTCTTCATAATAAATAAAATACTATTCTGCTAAATTAAGGCTTTATGAAGTTGTCTTATATTTTACAAATGCAAATCAAGTCCTTATTTTTTGTTGTGAGGAAAATGTAGTTTTGTGTCTGTTGGGATTTTCACTCAGGTAAGAAATATCACTCAATTCAATTAAAAACAAAACATGAAGGTACCTAAAAAATTTAACTGTTATAAGGACATGAGATTGATATTGATGTTAATGTCCTGACAGGAGTAGTTAAAATTATGTAAAGGGGAATTTCCTACAAATTTTTTTATTTTGGTCTCTTGAAATATGTTTTTGAAGCCAATGTATTTCTCTTGAACTTTGTTCCTTGACCTACTATCTTAAAGCTAAATATAAAAAATGAACATTTCTCATGTAGTGTTGACAGTGATTTGTTGTGACCCTAAGTGTGAGCCATCATATATCGGGCAAGTAATTGGCTGGGGGTCTGCTTTGTGCCATTCCTTTTTCAGAGTCTTATTTGGACTTAATATTGTTGACTTTTCATATATGCTTTTTATAAACTACAATGTTATATTTCTTGAACAAAATATTATATCTCAAGTCATTTTCAGTCAGAAGAAAACTACCTACAAATGAGGTATCTGCTTTAGGGTTACATTACATTCATCCTTTAATTTTCTTCTTGTACATGGATTTGGGGGATGATTTAGCATGTAGAGATTATGTAGGGAATAAAATAAATGATTTTCTTTTCTGGCACCTATGATACACTGTAATCACCTGTGTGATTATTAAGAGTTGGAAGAAGGAAAATCCTAAAAATTTTGTCAGGATAAATCAAACCTGAATGAAGATCCACTTTATGCATCTTAATTTGAAAATCTTTTGAGATAGGAAAGGAAGAGATGTGAAGAAGCAGAACTGTGACCGATTTCATTTCTAGAACATGAAAGCTGTGGTTTCTTCATGTCCATTATAAAGCACTAAAGCTGCCTCTTTTGGTTTTAAATCGGCTTTTCTATGATGTTGGTTACATCTTAAAGATAACAGAACTGAGGCATAGAAACATTAAAATGAATTACTAAGTCTGTATTTCAAGATGGAATTTTCTCTATCAGCATCTCTACACTAATGCTGTTTCAAGTGGAGTGAGTCCATCCCACTATAGATATAAGGATTGGAAAAGTTAGAGATCTAGTAACTCCAAAATGAGAAAGAGAATCAGAGAAGTAGTTACTTCAAGGAGGTAGAAAACTTTTGTCAGCTGCTTTTTAATGGTAATCTCTAACTTTTAAACATTAGTTCTAAATTTAAGAATCTTGAGAGCATTTGAAATTTTTCTTCTTCAATGTGTGTGTGTAAATCTTTTCATTTGACCAGAATTTATTGTATAATAGTGATAATTGTGGTATAGAAATTTCCTCGGATAGGTGCTTATTTGATTTTAAATGTGCTATAAATTTACTTGAATTTTAGTTGCCCATATATAGGCAACACAGCAGGTACTGTGTTAGCTTTGCATCAATGTGATCAAAAACACTGAGAACAACTTAGAGGAGAGAAAGTTTATTTTGACTCATAGTTTCAGGGCTTCAGTCTATGATTACTAATTCCATTGCACTGGGCCTGAGAATGAGGCAGAACACCATGGTAGAAGGGTATGACAGAGGAAAACAATCCAGAATGTGGCAACCAGGAAGAAAAGTGTAAGTAGGGAGGGGAAGAAGGAGAGGGGGAGACAGGAAGGAAGGGGGAAGGAATTAATGGGCTGAGGAAGAACAACTTCTCCAGGGCAGTTCCCAATGCCACCTTCTCTAGCATGCCCCACCCATCAGTCCATTCAAAGTAGGGTGATTCGATTAGATCATAACTATCATAATCTAATCATTTTACCTCTGAATATCCCTGTATTAACTGGAACTTTTGGGGCTTCTCATATCCAAAATGTAACAGGTGCTCAATAAATATTAAATGAATGTTATTTTCTATTTGTTCAAATAAAAGCACCATTTTCTACTCTCAGAACACTGTGCTATTCAATAGAAATATGATCCAAGTCACAAATACAATTTTTATTGACCTAAATTTTCTATATTTAACTCATATCTAAAACATTATAATTGCAACATGAGATCAATATAAAAATTATGAATGAAATATTTTATATTCCTTTGTCTTATTCCATCTTCAAAATCTTGTGTGTTTTTTACAGTTATAGTAGTCAAGACTCACATGTAGCTTATGGCTATTGATTGGACAGCACAACTTTATTAGATCATCATAAGCTTTTGACATTATTGACTAAATTCTTGACATTAAGAATTTCATTGTTTTGTGTTTTTTCCTCCCCTTCAGACCCTCTTAGCTCCTGTATTTACAATTTTAGATAATTGACAGATCTCTTATGCTTCCCCATTTTCTGGGCTGTCAACTTCAGTTCCTGTTTGTTCTTTTATTATCAGTTTGTGGCCTTGAAAATATGTAATAGGGATGATTTTAATAATAACACAGAACAACACTGTGGTTTACAATTACCAGAACCCTTATTACTGTCAAAGCGAATACTGACTAGCATTCGACTCCATAGTATGTACATGTCTTCTTCTACCTTTTTAATAACAGACTAGGATTTGGAGAAAGTCCTTTGCATAAATAATTCAGGAAAATGCAGATATTGAAGTGTGCACTTATTCCATGAAAATAGTACTTACAGAAATGGTACCTAAAACTTCAAGCTATTGAGCAATAATTAAAATGCAAGGCTGCAAGTTCTAAGAGTTAGTAATGCAATGGTAAGCATAATACAATTGTTAATGATCCTTGTTCTTAAGAGATTGGAGA